AATTATATCACTTCCTTCTGCTTGATCTTGAAGGTCATCAATCTACAACAATCAATATGAAGAACTTCTAGTGGACAATCCAGAACGGCCACGTGTGAGCCACTATCTATGACGGTTGCCATCCTAACTAAACACAAGTCTGATCCACACATATATATTCCACAACTGTGCAAACCCAAGGAGGGTGTGAGAGACCGTCTGGTCTCGTGGTTCCTTGCTTGTTTATATTTACTGCTCGGTTGCTTCTCTGCCGTCTTACCTGAACTACGCCGTGTTGTGGTGGGCACTGAATTCACTACAAGTCCACTCTCCTACCAAACCTCATATCCCTCCTGACCTGCAGGACCTAGCTAAAAAGCTCACCATATGCGGCTACAACAAGAGGAGAAGAGGAAGAAGAAGATGAAGAAAGAAGAGAGAAGACACAAGAACAGCAGAAAGAACAAAAGTCTCAAGGAAAAGACACCACCAGAAGACATACTATCACTACCTAGAATGAAGCACCGCAAAAGCCGCCCTTTCTGACCCAGCAATCACCACCTATCCAGTTGTGGCGTTCTTCCAGCATCGACTCAACACACACTTGGGTTTAGCCAAGGCTGTTTCTCTACAACTTTAGCATTTCCTCTCACCGACCTCTCTTCAGCTGTCCCCACTTCAATGCTCGCCCAACGAGTTTCTTATCCTGTATCTTCCTTCGTTCGTTTGTTGTCGCTTGGATCGTCGACTTCCTGTGACGTCACCTGCCACTTACTTTGGTCTATTTTCGTTATAAAATAATATAATTCCAGTGTAAAAATTTATATTTTCATATTCTACATTCAGCATCAACATTAAAGTGAGTAAATATATCATAGTTCTTCATTACTTACGTAATGCTTGCAAGCTTTCAGTAGATTTGGGTAACTTTCGGTAATTAGACGGACTGCACCAGCTGGGTGCAGTACATCCAGGACGGATGGGCTCGGGGACCAGACCATACGAGAAAATGTGGACAGGTAGCCAAGACAACAGGTAGTCGGGACAACGAGGCAATCACTGTTAGAGGTGACTTCACCTGGCGGCAACAAAAAGTCAGAAACGCAACCTGTACCTCCTGTACTATGCAAGTCGGCTACTCGGCTTGAGTTGGCAGAGTAACAAGATGCAGTGACCCTCGTAGATGTATCTGATGAAGAAGCAGCTGTGCTGGGAGTCCCTGTAGGATCAAGATGCCAGCGACGTACAGTCGGCAAGACACGTTATAGAGCCCGCATGGCGTAGTTAATGATGAGGTTATCGGATGTGTTTTAATTAAGCGATGCCCAAGAGTAGTTTGTCAGGGCTGGGTGCCTGTCGACATTCTGGGTCACCAATGTAACGTACAATTACATGTATGTATTTTGTTGATTACATACAGAGTTTAGTGTTTTCTTTATTTATTTAGTAGTCTTGGTGGTAGCCAACCATACCAAGTTGCCTACCACCCCCCTCTCTCTCTCTCTCATGTTGACCCCCCTCTCCCTCATGTTGACCCCCCTCTCTCTCATGTTGACCCCCCCTCTCTCTCATGTTGACCCCCCGCTCTCTCATGTTGACCCCCCTCCCTCTCATGTTGACCCCCCTCTCTCTCATGTTGACCCCCCTCTCTCTCTCTCTCATGTTGACCCCCCTCTCTCATGTTGACCCCCTTCTCTCTCATGTTGACCCCCCTTTCTCTCATGTTGACCCCCCTCTCTCTCATGTTGACCCCCCCCTCTCTCTCATGTTGACCCCCCCCTCTCTCATGTTGACCCCCCTCTCTCTCATGTTCACCCCCCCCCCCTCTCTCTCTCATGTTCACCCCCCTCTCTCATGTTGACCCCTCTCTCTCTCATGTTCACCCCCCCTCTCTCATATTGACCCCCCTCTCTCTCATGTTCACCCCCTCTCTCTCTCATGTTGAACCTCTCTCTCTCATGTTCACCCCCCTCTCTCTCATGTTCACCCCCTCTCTCTCATGTTGACCCTCTCTCTCTCATGTTGACCCCCCTCTCTCTCATGTTGACCCCCCTCTCTCTTATGTTGGCCCCCCCCCCTCATCTTCTGAAAGACAACTTCTCTGGAGAAAGTTCAATACTGGCCAGCATAAATACAGTAATTCCAAAACTAAAACAACTCTCATATCAAGTCATATTGAGGGTCATAGGGCTAATAACACTGCAAACGAGACATGATGGGACTGAATTAATCAAAACATTCAAAATAATAATAATTTTGGAGGCTGTTGATCTGGACAACTTCTTCAAAAGGTAAATTTAATACAAACGAGGAGCAACGGTTTCAAGCTCAACAAGCTACAGAGCAGGACTGAAAACAGGAGATGCTGCCTTTACACCAACGGAACCGCCTACCCGCTAAAGCCGTAAATGCCAAAACTCTGCTGAACTTTTCAATCCAGCTTGAAAAAATCATCGGGACAAATTGGAGGACCTTCAACAAGTAGACAGCCTCCTGTCTTTGTCGAGGCTACTAGAATGTTAGTGACCCTCAGGTAAAATGCAGGTAATTAATACTGGTTTCATTACTATGTGTAACACCTGTCCCTTATTCTTATGTTCTTTGTGTACACATTCTTTTGAATACAAATTATTATTATTTTTAGACAATTGCTGTGATAGCTCTTTTTGCACAACATGCACTTCTCCAATTGATTGACGGTTGAGAGACGGGACCAAACAGTCAAAGCTCAACCCCGGCAAGTACAACTAGATGAGTGTACAACTACCTGAGTACTGACTTTACTCTCTAGGTAATCTTCCTATTACCCAAAAATGGTTAGTAATATTACTACAGTATTCCCATATGTGACAGTGTACCCCAGCACAACTGACAAAACACCCCCGCCAAAAACTGAAGAGTCAAAGACCCATGGTGGCCCAAGGTGAGGCTCCACCCTGGTGGCCTAGGGCTTCTCAGGAGCAGACTCCCAAACACATCACAAAACTAACTGACAATGCGAGGTCAGTGCTAGTGAAGACCTAGAGAAGAAACCCCTGCACACATGCAGCTCAAAGTGCAATAGATGCCAAACCCACACAACAAGCCAGAGAGAAAACATACATTTGGAGCCAACACCAAAATAAACAAACACAAACAAATAGCCCCATATAACAAAAAGAGTCTAAGGATTGCTGGCACTGAGCTTCAAACAGAGGAGTTTGCCACGACTGACAGACCAGATTTAAGGTAGTAGCATCCACCATCTCTGCTGCAACACAACAGAATAGGAGCTGGCTTTCAGCTTCGGCCGGGCCGCCTGGTCTCCTCTACTAGTACTAACGAGTTCGAGCTACTTTTTAATTTACCTGATACATACTTAAGTCCGACTAACACAATTGGCCTCGATGGGGACAGGAAGCGGCCTGCTTCTCAAAGTCACCCCCCCCCCCATTTCCTTCATGATCCACTCCAGGTGGATTTTAAAACCTAACAAAGTAATGGGGTTTACAGCTTTGGCACAGAGGTCACTTACATGGGTTTATAACCCTGTGGGTGAAAAAAGCATCTCTTCTTCTCAGTCCTACATTGAGGTTTGTTCAGCTGTTCCTCCTTGTTTGTGTTACATCAGACTTTTTGAAGAGCTTGGTTCAACATCCTTTAACATGTTTAGTATTTTAAAAGTTTCAGTGAAATCCACCCTGTCATGCCTGGTTTGCAGTATTGTTAGGTCTGTGGCCCTCGACCATTACTGATACGAGAGATGACTTCACTCTGCAATGACTTTTGTTGCTCAGTGTTATACTTTCTCCAGAGCAGCTATGTCTTTCTGAAAATCATATCTCAATGCTTGGATACAGTATTCTAAATAAAGGGTGCACCAGACATTTACACAGTTGATTTACTACCTTCTTTTCCTTTCATTCAAAGGTAAATGTGATTATTCCAAGACTTTGCTTGGTAATCCATGCTTATGTTTGAATTGTTTGCTGATTTCTTTGCCAGTTTCAAGGCTTCATTTCTGTGAACCCTCCAACTGTCTATAAAGTTTTGCAGACTTTCTGGATGCTTTCCCGGTGCAGTGGCAAATTATCACCATTATAGGAGCAATCCCAGTCACAGTGGTTCAAAGAGCCACCATGAGGCTACTCCAGAACATGTTTGTTGAGAACGGGATTTAACAGAAATTTTGTATGTTTTGGAAACTTTGCATTAGGAATCATTGCAAAAACCAGGATACTTAACAAAAGCAAAAAAATATTGGATATTTCAGTATAAATGACTAACTAATATTATCAAGTGTCTAGGAAAACTCTCTTGCTGCAAAATTTTTATTTGGCAAATATAGTATTCACAATAACCAAACAATGAATGTCATAATATATTCATATATTACACAACATGCTAACCAACTCGTATCTCTCTCTCTCTCTCTCTCTCTCTCAATTCCGTAACTGAACAGTATATATGTGATAATGGTCTATGTTACAGATGCCTTCATGTAGATGTGGTTGAAAGTAAGAAAATTTGTATGACTAAAGCTACATTCACAAGTCTGTAACAAAATGTAACATGACATACAATCTTGGACCATGGGAGATAGCACACTGGCACACTATTTTATCTCATTATGAGATGTTGCGCCATATTTGTGCTTACCCTTAAAAACAATTAACAGTGCATGAAATGTAATATCCACAAAAGTATATCTTAAAAGTATATATTTGTTTTATCTCGTAATTTGTTCGTACATTCTTAGAATTGAACAAATATTAACATCCTTATCAAGTGAAAAACAAAGTTTCTATGCTTATAAATATAACAATAAATATTGATTTTTCTTTGTTGTGAATAGCAGGGGAGGGGAGAATAATATGCTGTGCTGCAACTTTTGTTTTCTCAAATTATTTCTCTACTAAAATCATTTTGTCATCCTACATCATTAGCAAATCAAGGAAGCAGTGTATATAAAGTTGGTAAGTAACTTTTAACATAAGTTATAATACACTATTCTTAAAATGAACATTATTTGCTTTCCTTACCTCGCTTCATAGAGTGAGGGAGATATGGGTCCTGGTACACTACGGAAGGGTCTTGAGAGGCCTGGGGTGTGGGGCTAAGGCTTGGTAGTACCAGAGCTAAGCTCAGGAAGCTACTGTGGGGTCCTTCCCAAAACAACACTATACATAAAAATGTAGTCATATAAAAATGCATGAGTGCAGCAAAAACTAATATATTCAGGTCTGGATTATAACGATTTCCAAATTTAATGGCCAAAACTCGATCTGGTTATGGTCAATGTATTACTTATATGGACCAGCTGCCAATACAAACCAGGGAATCTGGAAAATCTGGATTTGTGTTGCCAATAAATTTACACAATTTCCAATTTTTATTTCTATAGCATTTTTGGTCTACTGTATTACATATTTATTTTTTTCCATTTGACTTTGCTATCATAATACATGCAAATATGTGTCCTTTATTTTTTGCAAATTATAAATTATTATGATAAACCAGATCCCCTTATATAACAAGCAAGGTCTTGTACCAATTTCAGTAGCTTTATTGAAAAATGGGAAATACAAACAAAGTATGGGACTACTAAAAGATATTTAAAACAGCTTTAAACCAATAATGTTTTTGTGGGAAAAAAATCATTGTTAAACAAGGCAAACAACAAATAATAAATCAACAATTAAAACAATAACCTACTGGTAATTTCTCCTATTGGTTTCTAAAAAAAAATACAAAGATTGGTGATTTCAGTTAAGGAAATCCCTTTCTTTTCTTTTCTTTTCTAAGAGGTGATCTGTCACTTGAACGATCAATGACATTGATACTACAGTGCTGAATGCATGTGTTGTCATGTGCCATAAGAACTGAACTCCACAACAAAAGTGCCTAACAGATGTATCGGTTGGGTGTCTAATTTTCAGCAACATTATTTTTGACTTACTCTCTGCATAACATTTCAAAGCTCCGGTGTTGCAAAGAACACCAACTACCTCTGAATTTTCTTTGAGTTAGTGTAAGTGAAGAGAGATACCCTATAACATTTTTAATAAATTATTATTCATATTTATAAGACAATCTTACTGGAAAATACAGGGTTGTATGTAATGAAACTCCTCTTTATGATATGGCCATAGTGGTTCCCTGTAGCTTCCCCCACTCTGTTAAAGGGGCCAACAACAAAAAAGGGCAGTGAAAAGACCCCAAGTAGAGGCTTCTTCCACGAAGCATGAGAACGACACAGGGCAGAAGCAACACCAGCCAGAGCAAGTGCAATGATCCGGGAATCAGACTACTGTACCCCCGACCAACAACCAGTGAGTGGTCCAACCTAGAAGGGGTACCTCTGAAACAGGGATACAATACCTCCACATAACCACCTGAGGGGCTAGAAGGCAGTGGCAGCAGCCAAACAAACCAAACAAGGAGTCACTTCAGGAAACAGATGGGACAAAATGGTAATACGGACAAAAATATAAAGGCAGACAAAAGGGTTAAGGACCAAGCTGAATCTAATGCCGGGGCCATCATGCAAAATGGGCCAGAAAAACACCACTGCCTACCAAAGGATAGAAGCAAGTCAGGCAGAGATGCCAAAGCTGGAACTGCAAAAACAGTTCCATCTTTGGCAACTCCTTCCAGTAACAAGACAGCCACACCAGGAAATGAAGCCAGAACATCCACAACTGCCCAGACTCGTAAATCAGCTGCCAATAGAGCACTAGTCTAGTGATATTCTGCTGTGAAGGCTCCTGAGAATAAAGGAAACTGAATATGGAGCTGCCACCTGTTCACTTCCATAGGAAGAATTGGAGCAAACAAGCAGCTCTCAAGCAACACAAAAGAAGCACCTCCTAAGAACAACTGCATTATGAAACTAAATTCCCGCCAGCAAGCATCTGGGTTCGACAAAAGCCATGCCAAGCCAAGGACTTTCCCCGAAATAAGATTATCATTATCACTGTCATCAGAAAAGCAAAGTCCTCAACCCATATGAGGAAACAAAAGAGGTTCACCGGAACAGAAAGAGGTCCGCTTGAATGGAAAGACGATCGCCTGAACAGAGGAAGGTGCAATGCAGGACAATGCAAACCCCACGAAATAATGTGTCTCCAGTGAACTGAATGGGACGTGGAAGTGCACCCGAGGAATCCAGCTCGAACAGAGACGGAGGAAAAGTAAACACCTTCACCCAGAGCAAAAAAGGAACACCAACTACAGATGGAATCAGACACCATGAAGAATTAAAGGTCATCTAGGAACATTCCTTGGGCTACCCCTCAACCCCAAACGTTTGACATTAAAAACCCGGGACAGAGCTGAGCTCTGCACAGGAACCTGATTGCCGTGGACAACGCTTTCTGCGGGGACTTGGTGCTTTCGGACATTACCGATATCTGTGGTTACAAGGTCCGTTGTTATACGCCTCTGGGTGACCGTTTGGTACAACGTGTGATCCGGCATGTTGTTGACATTAGTGCAGACGACATCGAGGCGCAACTGCAGGATGACGACATTCCATTCTTTGGTGTCAAGAAATTTATGCGTAGAATTGATGGAGACCTGTGTGATACCGGCACTGACCTTATTTTCTTCACTCCCTCCTCCCCTGATTGGGTTTGGATTAATGGATTCCTTCATAAATTGGAGGTGGACGTCCCCCGTTCCACTCGGTGCTTTCGTTGTAAGGGTTTTCTTTATACCATACCTCCCATGGCTGCACCAATGACATCCATTGTGGCAAATGCTCTGGTTTAATTACACTCGTGACTGACTCCAACAAGCTCTGTTGCCCCAACTGTCGTGGTGATCATGCCATCACTTTCAATCAGTGTCCTTCCTATGTTGTGGCACTTGCTAAGGCTCTTCCCGTGGTCACTCAGCCCACCAGTCACGCTTTGCCTCATCCTGCCCCGGTTCATTATCACCCACCGCTTCCCCCTCCACCGCCACCTTGGCCCATGCCTGACCTGTTTGTCACCGACGTTCCTCTCACCCCTGAGGCTTCTTCTCTCCCACCCACCACTCACCCGAGTCCCGATCTTATTGATGCTATTGTCGCTCGTGTTGTGGATGCACTCGAGATGGTGCTGATCCACCTCGTCACTAAGTTCTTTCCACAGTCTGTCCTTCCCATTCCTGAGACTGACCCAACGCTCCTCTCCTCTGCTTCTTCTATGGTTGATGTCCATCCTCCCGCAGCTGCCTCTGCTATCTCCAATGTATTTGAATCGATGCTGGACAATGCCCTTCGGAACTTTGGCGAGCCTTCCCTGTCTCTCTCCCCAGGCTGTGTTGCCCCACATCTCTGCCCCCGGTACTAAGCGGAAGCAATCCTCCGTCGTCCTGATTTCCAAGGGCCCTGCCACCTTTCCTGATGGGCTTCTTACATCGCGTTCTCCCACGACTTGTCCTCGCACCCTTCCTAGGTCTTCCTCCCGTTGTCCTGCTGATGCTTCTGCGAAGTCTGATGCGTTAACGTCCCAGGCGTGAGGCTCCGGATTCCATCTACCAATCTTGCCCTGTTCTAACCTTGCCTGTCCGGTCTTGACTTCCTCTACCCTTCTACACATTCACATTTGCCTCCTTCACATCCTTTGCCCCACCCTTCGTCTCTTGCCTCCGTCCCTCGCTTTTTTTACTGCGGCGACGCTTTCTACTCGCCTTCTGTTTTCTTTCTTCCTCTCCTACGTTCCTTTCCTCTTGTTTATTTTGCCTTTCTCCTCGCCTACCTCGATGACATCGTTAGCTTCTCGACTCGGGTACGTCATGACCGTTGATGTGTTGTTGTGCATTGTCATATACACATCTTTCTACATTACCACTCGTGCAGTCATCGGGAGGATGTACCTTCACGCAAACTGCATGTATTGCAAAGAGCAAGAACAAGAAGAGCTCTGCACACAATGCCTGAGCAGATAAGAAGGTATCTTCAAACTTTAAAACGATCCGATATAAATACACACCCCGCCTCCTGAAACACCAACCCCAACAACTCCAAAACCCCAAAAGAATGAGACTAGCCTCAGAATTGGGGCTAGTCTCATTCTTTTAGGGTTCAACTGCACAAGCATCAACCTGCAACAAAAAAACAGGCAAATGAACCTGAAGTAGCTTCCACCTGTGTTGTCTCATCACTTCAAAAACAAACAAAAACTAGAAGACAAGTGCTTGATTCAAAATAGCATCCCAGCAAACCCAAGTATCACACAGCCCTTAGGGTAGAGGTAAAAAAAACTTGCCAAACAGCCAGCAGAGGAAGACACAACAAGTCACCATGGGTTTGTAGCAAAACTGATGGACAGCCCTCAAAACAAAAGAGATTGAGTGCAAGCTTAGAGGGGTCGAACCATATTGAGCCACACCAATGAACTGCAAGCTTGCCAGGGCCTCAAAGTGAGCAGGGCACACAGGCAGAATGGACACTCGCTGGATGAATTAACACCGAAAACACGGCTGTGAAGAGCGTTAGAAGTGCGCCGTATAAACAAGCATGAAAACCCTAGCGCACCCCTACTCAATAGCCTCGGAATGCTTCCAATCTCAGAGCCTTGTAGAGGAGTCATAAATCCTTGCACTACTCGGGGAGTAGTCCAAAGCTCCCTTTACTGGCACCAACCAGAGATGTATCCTGTCAGGGCTGGTAAACACTTAGGGAAGGGCTACCCTAGACATATACAGCTTGAGGTGAACTTTCCAAAGTCTGCACAACAAGTGAACCTTGGAAACAGGGACATGAAGCAGAATCAAGAAAGAAATAATACACTAACAATTGGGCCCCTACAGGACACACTCCAAAAAATGGCCAACACTTATTAAGAAAATCCAGGACCCAAGGAGCTGGCAACTCACACAGTGGTCAAACAAGTCTGACAGCAGGTGAAGGACTAAGGATTGTTGACGCGGGGAGCCAGCAACTCTCATGGTGCTCCACCTTAGACTGGGAAGCATATGAAGCTAAAACAGAAGATTTTTGGACCTGTAAATTTGTAGACCTCATCCTGGAAACATTCTTGTATCAACATGTTAAACAAGCTACGAGGATGAGGGAAGGGGACGTTCCCTCCATGCTAGATTTGATATTTACCAGGAAGGAGGAAGAGATATTTGACATTCAGTACCTTCCTCCCTTGGGTAAAAGTGACCATGTCTTTTTGGGAATAAAGTATGCAATGCGTTATAAGCTGGAAGAAAATAAGGAGGTTGAAGCAGTTGAAAAACCAGACTTCAGGAGAGGACATTATGGTGACCTTAGAAATTTTTTTAGTGAGTATAATTGGACAGACTTGATGCTAGGCAAGGAAGTGAATGAGATGTATGGCAAGTTTTGTGAAATATATGATAAAGGCACAAAAAAATTTATACCAAAACAGAGATGCAGGACCAGAAAACAGGATTGGTTCGACAGAAATTGTGAGAGGGCAAGAGACCAAAAGACACAAAAATGGAATCAGTATAGGAAGAGGCCAAACCCCCAAACATACCAGCGATACAAAGATGCGAGAAACAATTATACAGCAGTAAGGAGAGAGGCAGAAAGAAATTTTGAAAAAGGGATAGCAGATAAATGTAAAACAGAACCGGGCCTATTCTACAAATTCATAAACAACAAATTGCAGGTAAAGGATAATATCCAGAGGTTGGAAATGGGAAACAGATTCACGGAAAATGAAAAGGAAATGTGTGAAACATTAAATGAAAAGTTCCAAAGTGTGTTTGTACAAAATGAAATCTTCAGAGAACCAGACACAATAAGAATTCCAGAGAACAACATAGAGCGGATAGAGGTGTCTAGAGATGAAGTGGAAAATATGCTAAAGGAGCTCGGGAGGAACAAAGCAGCTGGCCCAGATGGCGTTTCACCATGGGTTCTGAGAGAATGTGCATCTGAGCTCAGCATTCCACTTCACCTGATCTTTCAGGCATCCCTGTGTACAGGAATCGTAGCAGACGTGTGGAAACAGGCTAACATAGTTCCAATCTACAAAAGTGGCAGCAGGGAAGACCCCCTCAATTATAGACCTGTATCATTGACAAGTGTAATAGTGAAAGTATTGGAAAAGCTAATCAAAACTAAATGGGTAGAACACCTGGAGAGAAATGATATAATATCAGACAGACAGTATGGTTTTCGATCAGGAAGATCCTGTGTATCGAATTTACTCAGTTTCTATGATCGGGCCACAGAGATATTACAGGAAAGAGATGGCTGGGTTGACTGCATCTATCTGGACCTAAAAAAGGCTTTCGACAGAGTTCCACATAAGAGGTTGTTCTGGAAACTGGAAAATATTGGAGGGGTGACAGGTAAGCTTCTATCATGGATGAAAAATTTTCTGACTGATAGAAAAATGAGGGCAGTAATCAGAGGCAATGTATCAGAATGGAGAAATGTCACAAGTGGAGTACCACAGGGTTCACTTCTTGCACCAGTGATAGGTTAGTCAGCTGTTAATATGGTGTGTGTGATTTATTTGCTGTATTGTTTATCTTCTGTGAACCTTGCAGATCTCTATTTTGTTTCACTTCCTTTCTGGGGGTCTGTTTCTTTATAAACATGAATCCCCTGCTCCCTGCACATCCATGAAGAGGTCAGGTTATGGGCTCTGGTCTCTGGTGTCTTAAGGATTTGCAAAAACTGATGTGACTTATAGTTAAGGAGTGCAGCTAACTACAGGGAACTACCATGCACCCATCAAGAAAAAGTGTCCAGTTATAAGACCCTTTTCCCCCCTCCAAAGGAAATTCAACTAAACACTGTATAATAAAACATTGTCTTCTGATTGGCTCTCGGTAGCACTGATACTGCTAAGCTTAAAGATAGCACCAGGCCTCTAAGACTCACCTATACCGGGACCCAAGTAATGTAAGAGCTTGATTATTACGATTTCATTAACCTGAATATCCAAGTAATCCTAATTATTTCACATTTGGGTTTTCACCTTTTTTTTTTCCTTTTAAACCTAATTAAAAGGTTCTACCAAACGAAAAACTTGAATACATTGAAGGTCATGTAAGAAGGACTTACCAACTCTAATAAAAAATTCTGGTTACTGAGAGTTCTGCCAAACAAAAACTCAAATAAATTAGAATTTTTTAATTTTTGTATTTTTCCAATAATAAAAAAAAAAATTGGCTAACTCAAATGGGGGTGAGGCCCCATGAGCACAGACAATACAGGTAAAAGGAGTCTGGGATTTAGAGATCTACCAAAAACAGGACAACAACCAAAAATAAGCTTCTGCTTGCAAAAAGTATGGGGTGCATAATAAAGAAATATATTGAAAAAAAAAGGAAACCAAAACAAACTGTAGTCTGCCACAGGTGAACAACCCTAACTCTGGTGTGCCCAGCTGATGCCAGATGGCAATTAAGCTCATAAGAGAACCCTCACCAGCTGCCAGGACTGAACCTATTGCAACATATTCTATATATTGAAATTGATTTGTCCTAAAAATAAAAAAACAAATACAAACTCATGCCAATAAATATTTTTTTTTATTAAACTATACCGGCAGGATGGAAAAGGTTCTGTAGCAAGGTAGAAATAACAACAATTGTTTGTAAGGAAATTAAGAGGAAACAAACAGCACACATACAAGTTACTTAAACAAAATATCTACACTACTATGACATCAAACCTGATTAATTTTGTGTGTACAGCTCTGGAATCATCTTATTTACCTGACACGAGTCAGGTATAAATATTCGAGATATTTTCACAAGTTGCAATTAGGCACACACGAAAAAAATGTGATACATAATTTTAAAATAGTCAACTCACTGAGAGGTTATCTAAAAACCACTTAAATAAATAATAAAATTATTTTAAAACTTCACCAATTAATAAGTTTTTTACAGGATGTTACATTTTATGGAGAAACAATTTTGACAAATTAGCAAACTCTACTGAAAAATATTGAATAACTTTTAATAAACCTTCTGCTAACTAGGTTACACAATGCTGTTACTTCAAAAAACCAGCGTTGAATGTAATGAAACGCCATTTTCTGGGTGAATCCCAGAGGCTCCCCGGAGCTATCCATAGCTGATATACATACCTTAACTATTTGGCATCAGTCGATGTGGGTGGACTTCTAGGCCCACCAAGGACCACGAGCCAGAACCTAGCACCCTCCCAGAGGTACGAGGAGCAATGGCCCATAGATATGTACGTGTCATTTGGAGCATTCTATATCTACCATCGACCGGGACAGGCACCCAGAAAGGTAAGTGCCACAAAATAAACCCCTATTCTGGTTAACAACGAAAATCAGCAAACGAGTGGACAGAACTCCCCAAAAGAAAAACGAATAAACAAGCCAGATGTCACACAAGCCGCGCCGTATGTCTGCACAGACACCCCCCCCCCTCGGAAGGGGAAAGGGGGAGCCCCAGACCCTTGTGCTGGCAATCCACACCCCAGTTCTGAGGCTGGATATCAAAAACGTCAAAATATGCAGACCGGAGGGAGGAAGGGAGGGTTGCCGGGGAGCCTCCGGGACTCGCCCAGAAAATGGCGTTTCATTACATTCAACGCTGGTTTTTTGGGGGGAACCCCTACAGCTTCCCAGAGCTACTTCACCAAAGACAGAAACAGTGGGACGCATCTGGGAGGTGGTCGGTGCTCACACCACAACACAAAGTCAAGACAACAGGCTGCAACAGTCAACCCTAGGCGACATAGGCCCAACGAGGCCCAGGAACAGACACGAGGGAGCACGCAGCCAGGACCCACCGCGATCGCCAACACAACCCTGTGCCCGAATGCCAGCCCAAGACATGCCACCAATGATGGCAGCAAGCACAGCAAACCTACAAACATCAAGGGCATGGGAAGACACCGCAGTCTGGTTAGAAAGAAGGACTTAGCAGACAACCGGAGAGACCGAACCCAAGAACAGGAAGGGAAACCAGATCAATCCAAAGCGTAGCTCGGCCACAGAGGCCGTGGCGCGCAAGAACGGAGGAGAGCCGCAACCGGACACAAGAAGCACCCCGGCCAACCAACCAAGCAGCAACAACCCCAGGGACCCCTCTGGAACTGAAGAGGCCACAACAAACCAAAGGGAATAGAGAAAAAGAGCATCCTGCTCCAGAGCAGGATGGCACAGGTGGAGCATGAGCAGGCCGGAGGGAAACAATGCCCGAGACAACTCGGGAATGGTGCAGAAGGAATAACAAAATTACTGGAGCAATCTGAAGCGGCTCCACCAGTGCCACACGAGATAGGGTGACGTTATGCGGCCAGAAAACAGCCCTGAACTACCACAAGAGAAGGAAAAGACCATGACAACAAGGTTATCGCAGTTATCTATGAAGAGATAAAGACCGCCAGAAAACCTCATACTGCCACCGAGACAAAGCAAACAGGAGGGACACATTCAAAAAGCCACCTGACCACCAAATAAAGGGTGAGAGACACTAGTCAAAAGTACCAGACAAGAATACTCAAGGAGAAGACCAAACCAGCCCCACCACGGACCAGACTGACCATGTAAAAGAGGCGGAGCCACGGGAAAACCCCTGGATGCAGACACTGAGCAAGCCGCACCAGAACCAAGGCAGTCAAAGAACGAAAAAGAACGCCTGCCAGGGAACAGGAACCCAAACCCGGCGAGCCAGGAAAGAACCAACCTGGCAAAGCAGAAACGCCTCATCCGGGAGGCACCCCCCCCCTCTGGGACCCCTGAAGGAACAATAAGCCCGATAACAGACAAGAAGCTGCTGCTTGCAGAAACTGCCAACCGCAACTCCGCAAACAGCAAGGGCAAAAAGAGCAGCGAAAAACCTAAGCGCCAAGGCCCAAGAAGAGGCCAACAAGGAGCTGAGCACCACGAGCCGAAACCTGAGATGCGAAGCGAAAAACAGTGACACCGCAACCCACAGGAGCAGCACCACCAGCCCCAACAGGGTAGAACGAAGCACCACGT